TGTTGCATATTTAGAGAACACTCAAAAGTGTAAAAAAATATTAAAAGAAAATATGTATGTTAGTAGAAATCAATTTTATGCTATTGTGTGATATAAAAACATTCTACCCTTTCTTTATTTTTTATTTGATCTTTAATGCTTGCGTGATGTCTATGTTTTTTAGGGTACACAAGGGTAGACCATAAAATCAATGCTTAATGTAAAAATGCATATATTCAAAGTTACCCTTGAAATACCAAAATCTCCAGAAATCTGACACCTGAAACCAAAAGGGACACTATATTCACCAGAACCACTGCAGCTTAATATAGTTGTTATGGTGTTTATAGCTTGTCCCTGCAGGCCTTTTAATGTAAAAGGAACGTTCCCCATAGAATGTATTGATGCAGTGCGTCTCTATGAGAAAGAGAAAGCATTGGATTGGCTGAAATCATCAAGTAAATGTGATGATCACAGCCATGGAGGCAGAGCCAGCTGCAGTGAGACTGACATGGCATGGGAAAAAAGGTGAGTTTAAATACCTTACCTTACTGAGATGCAAGGGGAGGCCGCTAACCGAAATAGTTAGTTTAACACTACAGTCAGGAATACATGTTTGTGCAGTATTCCTTTACGTTTTTGTAACTATTATACACTGCTTTCAGAAAGAGATATGCCATCTTAAAAATACACATAATGACAAAACAATATTTTCTTAAATCTTCCATAATATCAAACACCACCATCATAAATGTTACACAAAAAGTGGCACAAAGTGCAAAAAGACTGATAGATACAAAACTAGGATGATTTTTAAGGATGGGATGATTTACAATGGGTTGTAAAACTACAGATAATAGTCTGTCTAGGTAAGCCTGACGCAGCCAGGAAGGACAGAGTAAGCTCTTTTATATCCGGTTTTAAACTACATTTCCTGGAGACCTGGTCTAAGGTGACATCATAAGTGTCATTGAAGACTTGAGTCCAGAAATTGTATATATAGTTTTTTTGTTGCCCTGCGTCTAAAATGGATTGTTTGACTTAATGTTATTATCTTATTTACATTTGGATAATAATAGTTCATATATTTAGATAATAATACTGTCTGTTTTTTTTTATGTTGTGTTATTATCAGGGGATGATCAGTGCTACAGTAGGGGATGGCTGAATGGGTATTTATTTTGCATGTCACTGCTTGCTGTGTTGAGAGTAGGCCCTTAGTTACTAGCCAGTGCAATGGACTACCTATAAAGGGATGGTGACGCTTTGTCTGTCAAAGTTCTTTTTAGGATAAGAGACCTCAAGCACTTTTCTTTGAAAAATACTTTGATAATGGAGATATTATATGTTTGTTTTACATGTAAAGCGCTACTCTAAACGCCATGATCAATTGAGTGATTTGAAGTGGTCATGTATGTTCAGTCTGTATGTTCAGCATTTTGCTATGAAGCACCGCACATACGAAGTTTAACCCCTTTGCTGGCAGAGGTGTAACTCCCCAGCATCATTGGGGACAAGGGTTCCAGGCTGGTTAATGACAATTCTGTGCATATTTAATTGCACAGAGTTCCAATCATTGGCTGTGAGTGTTTAACTGATGCTTGCAGACAGAGGCGTGCGCACGGTGTGTGCCAGGTGTGCCTGGGCACACCCTCATCCCCGCGGCACGCCTATGGATTGAGACCAGCAGGGGAGATCTCAGGATCTCCCCTGTCGGGTCATGCAGAGCCGGCTCTATCCGAGATCAAATATCTACCTCACTGGCCCACAGCAGCATGGAGGGAGGCAGGAGAGGACCCGGGGAGTGCTAGCCAGCCGTGGCAGCGCTCAGATCTCGCGAGCGTGAACTCTAGCTCCACAGGCTAGAGTTCACTCTCCACTGGACCACCAGGGATGGCAGCAGCACGGTCCCCCCTCCCTATAAAAAAGGTAAGAAGGGATATTAACTAATTTGCCCCCACCTCCACCCCCACAATCACCCACACACATACAGCACACATACAGCACACAAACGGCACCCTCTCACACACAGCACCCTCACACACACAGCACCCTCACACACACAGCACCCTCACACACACATACAGCACCTTCACCCACACAGCACACACACACATACAGCACCTTCACACACACACAGCACACACACACATACAGCACACACACACATACAGCACACACACATACCGCACCATCACACACACAGCACACACACACACACACATACAGCACCCTCATACACACAGAGCACACACACACACACAGCACCCTCACACACATCACACACATACAGCACCCTCACACACACAGCACCCACACACATACAGCACACAAACAGCACCCACACACACAGCACCTACACACATACAGCACCCTCACACACACAGTACACTAGCAACACCCTTACAAACACACTCACAGCACACAAACAGCACCCTAACGCACAGCACACTAACAGCACCCTCACAAACACACAACACCCACACACAGCACACAAACAGCACCCTGACACACAACACCCTCACACACATCACACAAACAGCACCCTCACACACACAGCACCTTCACACAGCACACCAACAGGACCCTCACACACACACAGCACACTAACAGCACCCTCACACGCAGCACACTAACAGCACCCTCACAAACACACACACACAAACACCCTCACCCACATAGCACACTACCAGCACCCTCACACACAGCACCCTTACACACACAGCACCCTCACACCACCCTCACACAGCACACTAACAGCACACACACACACAGCAGTGTATGCATGTGTATATATATATATACACACGCAGCGTGTGTTTGTGCTTTAGGGTGCACACCCTAATGCAGTAGGCTGCGCACGCCTATACTTGCAGACAATGAATGGCTGGTGGGATCAGCATTTGGCTTCTTAGATCTGGCCATAGAGGACCCACGGCATCAGGCAGAGACCCAGTTAAACTGAGAAACTGTTGCAAAAAAGTTTGCCCTCTTACCAGTAAATTGGGCCAGGGTACTTCTCACATTCTAACTGCTACAACGGGCTGTAAGGTATATTAAAACACAATATGTGCTGGCACTCAATTGCGTAAGGTGCAGGTATTCAAGGTTTAACCCCACAACAACCTCCTAATCTCAATCATAAACAAATATGAATACCGCACTCAAAAAATTGCAATGAAACTTATTGCTAATCCTGCATTCAATTTCAAAATATTTATTGTAATGGTTTTAGATAAATTCATAAAGATAATAGTATTTCATCATGGTAACACTCATTTCATCCTATATACATAAACTATTTACATATATATATATACACACAGAATCCTCCCTCGTCCATGCTAAAGTTCATAATCTATATATCTATATACAGTAGGTAATGATCCAAAAAATAGAAAAAAATAGAAAAAATGAAAATGAAAAAAATAGAAAAAAATCCAACCGAAAAAAGGGAAAAAAGAAAAGAAAAAAAGAAGAAAAAATTATTGTAAAAAAGTAATACAGTCCTGATAAATAGCAGTCCAAAATATAGTGCACTATATGGTTCACTGTATATGGGTGGATCTCACCAATGTAGAAGTTGCTTTTGGATATACACAGTAGGAGGATGCTGAAGTCTGCAGACGATAATGTGATAGATGGGGATGAAAACGATTCCTGTTTAGTGAAGAAAAGATCATATCATCAACTCTCTGTATGATCTGGTCAGTATAGTAGGTCGCTGGGAAATCCTTGAAGTGGGCAATCCTTGAAGTGGGCTGTGCGCTCGGGACGTTCCTGTCCCTTCGATGGCCCATGTTCAGTCCCCATCGAAGGGACAGGAACGTCCCGAGCGCGCAGCCCA